CTGGAAGTTAGATAATGTAGAAATCAGCTGAATAATATGGTGATTTAAGCTTTAATGTTTTCTAGTTCCTCAGAGAGAAAGTGGATGATTCTGCTAGTAAAGGCATCAGCTGCTTTTTGTCATCAGAGTGGATTTGGCACTTGGTAATCTGTAAGGGCAAGATTGATAGATGCATTTAACCTGCATAGTAGAACTGGGTCATCTTAAATAATAAATTTATTTTACAGTTGGTTAAAGCAAGCTGAGTTAATTAGGTTGGGAAACAAAGCAGGTGTTTAGCCTTTATAAAGACTATGGAGTTGTGAAAGGGCAGAGTTGATTAGCCAGATGGTGAATTTATTAAGGTTAATAGTGTGTGCTCATTGTTAGAAGGGTGGCTGGAGTAAGTGTGAATATGAGTGAAAGACCATAGAACCTTGGGTATTTACCAATACGAATGATTGTGAAAAAGGAGGTGCCCTGAGGTGTGTGTTTTGGGCTGAAATTGTATATGTGAAACCTTAAAGTGCACAAGTTAAAGTGAGTGAGTTTGAAAATTATTCTTGTCGGGGCTGTGTGATTTTTCATATTCTTTAGTTAAGTGAACATTAGTCATTCTGAAATATGAATGTCCTTATATAATGGGATAAAAGTAATACTTGGGCAATTATGATATTATATTTGTTCTAAAGTAGTAAATATGCCCAGGACTTTAATACATTTGAATATTTTGTACCTAATAAAAATTGCAGTAGTTGTGTAAGTGAAACATTTGAAGGAAATGTATATGATAGAAGTGACCTCCAGAAATTTAAAGTAATGTAAACCCTTTTTGGAGATTTGTGTGTAATAACCTTGCGCCTAGTTATCAATGAAACAAACATATGCCCCTGTTGAATGATCAGCTAGTATAAAAAGAAGCAACAATTGAATTTTAGTTGTATAAAGGCATACAGTTTTTCCAGATTTTGTGACCAGCAGCATACGAGTGTTCCTAATTTTACGGCCAATAGCATTAGTTTGGAAAACAGCTATTGTTTGGATTTTTAAAGGTGATAGGTAGGGAATATACACTGTTGACTGTGTCTACTATTACAGTGCTACATGATCAATACAGAGAATTTGAAGAAATATTATGGTAGAAAGACAACATGAAAAGTAGAGTAAATAGCAGAAAGGAGCAGTCGGAAATTAAAGTACATGTGCAATGACTAAATATTGCTGTTGATTAAACATTCGGATTGCTGACGGAAAAAGCTAATAGTTCGGAATTTATGGACCATTCTATTGAATTATATGCTGTACCACTGCGGCTGTAATGGTTTTGGAGGTTGGCGTTGGTTTGGGAGCTTTCTTTGTTACACTCGTCCGGGACGATATCGTTTTGCCCATATCGGATTCTTGGGCCAGCTGGCATTTATTGTGGGCGGCGCTCGGACTCTATTTAAGCCCAAGTTTCGCCTCGCCACCTTTGCTAGAGTGTCAGTGTTACCATTGCACTGTAGCCTGCAAGATCTCTAGGTAGAAAAGTGTTGAGGAATTAGTTGCAAGAAAGGAAAGTGTTAGTAAAGGGAATCTTTCTCTTCCCTGTCCTCTGTCTGTGCACCATCTGGTGCTTAATCGTTTGATCTCGGCTTCTGAGATTTTTTTCCCCCCCTTATTTTGTTCTGTCTAGCTCACTTTGCTTCCTGTTTATTTTTCAGACGAGATTTGTCCTTTGGAAGCGCGAGCCCCTCTCTCGTTTTATCTGTTTGTCATTTTGCTGTGCTTCCTTTCGTTCCGGCCACTGCATTTGGCGTCTCGAAATACCAGCCATCACAGTGGCTTACTGAGTTGAAAATTGAGAAGACCTTCTGAAACATTGCTGTTATTTCCCCCCCCTCCCCCATTGTAAACACATTCAGGGACACAGTTACCTCAGAAGAACTAAGGTCCTAATATATATATTTTAAGTATTGTTTGTATTTTAATGGCATGCTGTTGAAAAGCAAATGAAAAGAAATCTCTGCACTTTTTTTTTACACTTAGTTCTATGTTTTGTTGAAATACAATCTTGGGGGGGTGCCCTGGTGGCTCATCGGTCTAAGCGCGCGTACCATAAAGGCTGTGTCCTTGTGAGGTAGCGATCTGGAACCAGATGCAAGAATCAGGAAATGCAGTAAAATCGAGAAAGGGGGGCGAACCCCCGCAGAGCAGGAAGCAACGGTACAAAGTCCACAATCCAAAAATCAAAAATCCACAGGGCAAAATCGGAGTTGTTAACAGGGCACCAATCACAGAATTCGTAGTTGGGCAAAAAAGGGTTTGATACACAGAAGCAACAAGCAATCCAAAACAGAACCAAAATCAGAGATAGTCCAGTCAGAAGTGAATCACAAGAGAATACGAGGCAAAAACAAGCGTAGCACAAGGGAAACATTCTGACGGGGAACTGCTGTGAGAAGACTGCTTAAATACACACAAGGGAAGTCACATGCTATGATTAGGGACAGGTGAATTGGATCAGACTAATTACGAAGGAGCAAACACAAAGGAAGCCTAATCACATGAAATTGGCAAAAAGCCAAAAGCGCGGACAGGGATCACGAGACAGCCTATTGACAAACATACAGCTCGGTTAGGGAGTTCTAATGTGCACAGATAATGAGAGGCAGAACAGAGTTAAGCAGGTGCGGAGGATCCGCTGAAAGCATAACAAAGTAGATTGAGTGAAGACAAGAGGCGGAGACTAGAACAGGGCGAGTGCTGAGAGCTTGTTAATCAATTAGTAAGGTGCAGCTATACAATCCCTAGTGCTCGTTAGTAAGTTAGTATTATATACAATGTTAGTCTAGGTTAGTAACTTTAACAAAAACAACAAACTGTTAGTATTGGTTAGTAATATAGAAAAGCAAGGTGAAGGAAGCAAACGAGATTAGAAGGAACTATTGAAAACCCAGAAACCATGAAATCACCTGAAAGCGTGGCACACAATACTAGGGGAAATAAGCTGTCACATAACACAAGACCAGACAGGGGAGACAAAGTGCAATGCATGGTGAAATACAAAACAATGACCGGAATCTAACTGGGGAATTGGACTATGGCAGGAAATGCATGAATAAACAGAAACAAAACATGGCATGGAACAAGGCAAATGAAAAACATGAACAAGAACATGGGCAGAGCAGAACAGAATCATAACAGTCCTTCCCGCAGCGACCTGGGTTCGATTCCGGCTCAGGTCATTTGCTGCATGTCTTCCCCCATTCTTCTCCCCAACCTTCCTGTCTCTCTACACTATAACTGTCAAATAAAGGAAAAATTCCCAAAAAAATAATCTTTAAAAAAAAAAAAGAATACAATCTTGGGAATCAATCTTGAGAAATAAACAAATGGTACAAGATCTAAAATTTGGCACCTTTAATGGAACTGAATATTTCTAAGTTAGACTTCACTTTTGTCAATACATTGTTTATGGTATCAACAGTTCATTTCTCAAATTCAATTGGAAGTCTGTTCTTCAGAGAGATAGATATTTGTTCAGAAACATGGTCATCAGTATTGGGAAACCTTTCAGAAAATTCATTTACAATGTGTGTTTATAGGAAAAGACAGTTGAATAATTCTGTGACATCAAATAGTCAAGGCAGTGATACCATACAGGGGTGCGTTTCCCAAAAGCGTTTAGTTCATCCATTCACAGACAATGGGTCCAACTATGTAAGTTAGCATCTGTGATTTTGGGAAATGCACCCCAGAATATTTAGTCTGGCTAAGAATGTTATGATTCTGATCTGTTTTGCTCTGTTCTGTTCTTGTTCTGTTCATGTTTTGCAATGCCTTATATCCATGCCATGTTTTGTTTCTGTTTATTCTGTTATTCATGCCATAGTCCATTTCCCCAGTTATATTCCGGTCAGTGTTTTGTATTTTGCCATGCATTGCACTTTGTCTCCCCTGTCTGGTCTTGTGTTATGTGACAGCTTATTTCCCCCAGTATTGTGTGCCACACTTTCAGGTGATTTCATGGTTTCTGGGTTTTCAATCATTCCTTCTAATCTCGTTTGCTTCCTTCGCCTTGCTGTTCTGTCATTACTAACCAATACTAACAGTTTGTTATTTTAGTTAAAGTTACTAACCAAAACTAACATGGTATATAATACTAACTTACTAACGAGCACTAGGGATTGTATAGCTGCACCTTACTAATTGATTAACAAGCTCTCAGCACTCGCCCTGTTCTAGTCTCCGCCTCTTGTCTTCACTCAATCTACTTGGTTGCGTTTCAGCGGATCCTCCGCACCTGTTTAACTCTGTTCTGCCTCTCTTTATCTGTGCACGTTAGAACTCCCTAACCGGAGCTGTATGTTTGTCAATAAGCTGTCTCGTGATCCCTGTCCACGTTTTGGCTTTTGCCTATTTCATGTGATTAGGCTTCCCCTTGTGTTTGCTCCTTCGTAATTAGTCTGATCCAATTCACCTGTCCCTAATCATAGCATATGACTTCCCTTGTGTGTATTTAAGCAGTCTTCTCACAGCAGTTCCCCGTCAGAATGTTTCCCTTGTGCTATGCTTGTTTTCGCCTTGTATTCTTTGTGATTCACTTCTGACTGGACCATCCCTGATTACATTTTTGGCTCTGTTTTGGATTACCTTCTACATCTGTGTATCAAACCCTTTTTGCCCGACTACGAGTACTGTGATTGCTGCCCTGTTAACGACTCGGATTTCATCCTCTGGATTTTTGGTTTTTGGATTGTGGACTCTGTACTGTTGCCTCCTGCTCTGGGGGGGTTTTCCCCTTCCATAATAAAATCCAGTTTTACTGCACTGCTTGGTTCTTGCGACTGGTTCCTGAGCGATACCTCACAAAGAAGTTAAATATTGTGCACAAAAAAGAACATGAAAGAAGAAAATAATTATATGGAGATATTTGAAGATATATACGAAGATAATTACGGAATGTGAAGATACAAAAGTATAGTATAGCTGATAAATCTCAAAACATTAGCGTTAGTAAAATTATGCTAGTAATTGGAGGCGGCATGGCTCAGGAGGTAGAGCGGGTGGTCTCCGAATCAGAGGGTTCCTGGTTTGATCCCTGGCTTCTCCAGAGAACATGTCAAAGTGTCCTCGTGCAATACATTGAACCCCACACAGCTCCTGATATGCAGGCTGGCGCCTTGCATAGCAGCTTCTGCCATCAGGGAGCATGTGAGGTGTAATTGTAAAGCCCTTTGTGTCATGTGAGTAGAAAAGTGCTATATAAATGCAGACCATTTAGTATTTTCTGAGTGACCTTTGGGTAATGTTAATTTTGAAAGTTTTTAGCATACAGAAGTTCTTGACACTGTCACTTTAATTCAACCACAATGAAGGTCCTTTATACAGAAAACTAAGCTGTAATAAGTGCTTACATTTGGAAGGATCCAGTCATTACTGCCTAGTGGCATGACCATCTTTTAGATACGTGAATAAGCTCATCAGGGTCACAGGAAGGTCCGATCTGACAAATTTAAACATTAATAGGGTTAGTTGAAGTTCATATACATCAAAGCTTGTAACACTTTTGCTTCTTGACAACCACTCACTGCATGCCCTCTGTCCCCAATGTCCATCACCGGTCGCCTATTGAGTTGCTACTTCGCTAAACTGCCACTGCTGAATCTCTCGCCATTATGCTCACCAGCGCCATCTTGTGGTCTGGCGCTTTCTACTACTCATAGCACCCTACATTCAAGTAGATCAGAGAAACCAATTCACTCTTTAGAGATCAGTGTTTAGAGCACTCATTCTGCTGGAGAAACTGCATCTGCAAAGCTGGCTTTTCAAAATGAAAAATCTCTTTCAACTAATGGTTATAATTTATTCTCTGCTGGTACATGTCACACCCCACAAAGTATTGCTGCTATTCAACCATGCTTAGTACACCTGCCCCATCATAGCTTTAGACCAAATGGGATCAAACCCAATAATCTTGTCCATATCTCTGTAGAACCACAGATACAATTCACACATAGTGATTTCATATCCACTCCAATCAACTTACATAATCCTTACACATTTAAAGACCGAAAGGGCCTTGGCTTGATCCATCTGAATATAAGAAGTTTACTAGCACATCAGAAATGAGATCATTTAAAAATTCTTGTCTCTCAGGCAGATCCAGACATTTTGGTGTTGACAGAATCGTGGCTAAAGAAGTCTGATAGTGATTCCTCCATAGCTTTGGACCAGTACAATGTATTTAGAGCAGAAAGATTTGGAAGGGGTGGAGGAGTTGCTATATATGTACAACCCCAATTCCGAAATAGTTGGGACAAAGTGTAAATTGTGAATAAAATCTAAACGCAATGACTTTCAAATCACACCAGCGAATATTTTATTCACAATAGAACAGAAATAACATAGCAAATGTTGAAACTGAGAAATTTTACAATTTTATCCACAAAATGAGCTCATTTCAAATTTGATGGCTGCTACAGGTCTCAAAAAAGTTGAGACAGGGGCCTGTTTACCATGGTGTAGCATCCCCTCCTCTTTTTAACACAGAGTGGAGGCGTCTGGGCATTGAGGAGACAAGTTTCTTGAGTTTAGACATTGGAATTTGATCCCACTCTTGTTTAATACAGGCTTCCAGCTGCTGGAGAGTTTTGGGTCTCCTTTGACAGACTTTTCGTTTAATTATGCGCCAATTGTTCTCAATCAGTGAAAGATCAGGACTGCAGGCAGGCCAGTTCAGCACACGGACTCTTCTACTACGAAGCCATGCTGTTGTAATAGCTGCAGTATGTGGTTTTGCATTGTCCTGCTGAAGTACACAAGGCCTTCCCTAGAATATACGTCGTCTGGAGGGGAGCATATGTTGCTCTAAAACTTTTGTATACTTTTCAGCATTCATGGTGCTTTTTAAAACATGCAAGTGTCCAACACCATATGCACTAACGCATCCCCAGACCACTAGAAATGCTGGCTTTTGAACTGAATGCTGATAACAGGAGGGGTGGTCTTTCTCCTCTTTAGCCCGGAGGACACAACGCCCATGATTTCCAACAAGAATGTCAAATTTGGACTCGTCTGACCACAGGACACTTTGCCACTTTGCTACAGTCCATTTTAAATGAGCCTTGGCCCACAGAACACGGCAGCGCTTCTGGACTATGCTCAACAATGGCTTCCTTTTTGCACGATAGAGTTTTAGGTGGCATCTGTGGATGGCACAGTGGACTGTGTTTACAGACAGTGGTTTCTTGAAGTATTCCTGGGCCCATTTAGTAATGTCAATGACAGAATCATGCCAGTGAGTGATGCCATGGCGTCTGAGGGCCCGAAGATCACGGGCATCCAGTAAAGGTCTTCGGCCTTGTCCCTTACGCACAGAGATTTTTCCAGTTTCTCTGCATCTTTTGATGATGTTTTGCACTGTCGATGATGAGACTTTCAAAGCCTTTGCAATTTGACGTTGAGGAACATTGTTTTTAAAGTATTCCAGAATTTTTTTTACGCAAGCCTTCACAGGTTGGAGAGCCTCTGGCCATCTTTCCTTCTGAGAGACTCAGCCTCTCTGAGACATCCCTTTTATAGCCAATCATGTTACCCACCTGATGCCAGTTAACTTAATTACTTGCTAAATGTTCTTTCAGCTGATTCTCTTACATATTAATTGCTTTTTCAGCCCTTTTTTGTCTGTGTCCCAACTTTTTTGAGACCTGTTGCAGCCAGAAATTTTAAATAAGCTCATTTTATGGACAAAAATGTAAAATGTCTCAGTTTCAACATTTGAAATGTTATCTATGTTCTATTGTAAATAACATATTGGCTCGTATGATCTGAAAGTCATTGCATTTTGATTTTATTCACAATTTACACTTCGTCCCAACTGTTTCGGAATTGGGGTTGTAAAATCTTCTTTCTGTGCTACTGTTATGAAACCTATTACTATTCCAAAATATTTTGAATTTCTGATGTTAAAAGTGGATTCGGGGCCAAATAATCATTTCAATGTGACTGGGATTTACAGACCACCATCTGCCGATGATGCTTCAATTGATGAATTTGCTAATTTACTCTCTCAGTATTCCAGTTCTGAGTTGATTGTGATGGGTGATTTCAACCTCGACTGGCTGAATGATAAATCTAATTATCTTAAGGAGGTCAGTGGTAACCTCAACTTATCCCAGTTAGTCAAGGAACCTACTAGGCCAAACCTAAAAAATAGCTCTAAGTCAACCTTAATCAACTTAATTTTTTCAAATAGGAGAGACAGGATTCTTGCATGTGGTGTATTTGACTTGAGGATTAATGACCACTGTCCTACAGCCTGCATCAGAAATACTAATTTAAAGAAAACACAATCCCATACTGTATTTAAAAGAAATTTTAAAAAATTTAATGACCAAGCCTTTTTAGCTGACCTTTATCATAGTGACATCCATTATAACGCACAAATTCCGGACGTAGAAATAGCTTTTAATTTCTTTACAAAAACATTTCTGGCTTTTGTAGATAAACATGCCCCATGGAAAAAACTCAGTGAAAGATAGACTGTCACCCTGGTTCACATCAGAACTAGCTAATTTATTCAAAGTTGAAACACAGCCTGGTCAACTGCTAGGCGATCGGGAGATCCCACCCACTGGGCTTCATTCAGACAAATTAGAAATAGATGTACATCTGCAGTGAAAGATGCCAAAATAAATTATTTCTTAGATCTAGTTACTAAATCCTACTCAGTTCCATCAAAGTTCTGGAAAGCAGTAAATACTGAGAAAAATAAGGCCACTAACTCTTTACCCGCACAAGTTAAATTTAATGGCTATCAAATATCTGAACAGAGAGCGATACACCAAGCTTTTAATATTCATTTTCCCAAAATTAATCAACTACTCAAAAAAAATTTAGTCCCCCCTCTTAGTGGACATGAACATGCACCTGTTGTAGAACATGATTCGAGTTTTTATTTTCTGCCCCTCCATAATAATGTAGTTTTAAAAGCATTACAATCTATTGATACCAGGAAATCAACTGGAGAGGACAGACTGGATCCTTTTTTCCTCAAATTAGCGGCATCCTTAATTTCACAACAAATAACACACATATTCAACCTCTCTCTGTGAACCGGTATAATTCCTACAGCCTGGAAGAAAGCCTATGCGACCCCATTACATAAAGGTGGAGACAGGACTGACCTAAATAATTATTGGCCAATTTCCAAATTATCCTGCCTAGCAAAAATCCTTGAATTATTGGTTAATAATCAACTTAAAACATTTCTCTCGAAATACTCTGTATTAAGCCCATATCAGTCAGGTTTTAGAGAAAAACTTAGGACAATTTCCACAACTACTTTAGTCATTAATGATATAGTGACTCCTCTGGAAAAAAGAAAACATTGTGCTGCCCTGTTTATACTTAGATTTGTCAAAGGCGTTTGATAGAGTTGACCACTCTCTTCTTTTGCATAAATTAGGTACTATTGGCATGGATGCAAATGCTTGTAACTGGTTTCAAAATTACCTACCTGAGTGACTTCAATGTGTAAAAACAGGTATTGCACAGTCAGAGTTTTTACCCATTTCAAAAGGAGTTCCACGGGGATCAGTCTTGGGCCCTGTTGTATTTCCCATCTATATTAATGACATTTTCTCATCTCTAAATGATTGTCAAGCACACCTTTATGCGGATGACACTATTGTATATTGCATTGCTGATTCAGTTAAAGTGGCCACAGAGAATCTTAAACTCACTTTTAATGCATTACAAGACACACTTAACAACCTTAAATTGGTGCTCAATGCCAGCAAGACTAAATGGATGTTATTCTCCAAAGCTAAAAACACTGTCTACAATGACTTGAATATATCTGCCATGAATGTAACTGTTATTGATAGAGTATCAGAATAGAAATACCTTGGAATTTGGATAGATGAAAAACTGACATTTAAATACGACGTGAGCACTCTTGCCAGTAAATTGCAGCAAAAGATTGGATTTTTATATAGGAACAGAGCAAACTTCCCTAAGATTAATAGAAAGAGAGTTGTTGAAGCAGTTTTTCTACCTGTTTTAGACTGTGGAGATGTCATTTATAGACATGCAGCAGCTTCCACTCTA